CCCTTCCCTTCCCTTCCCTTCCCTTCCCTTCCCTTCCCTTCCCTTCCCTTCCCTTCCCTTCCCTTCCCTCTTCCCTCTTCCCCCTTCCCCCTTCCCTCTTCCCTCTTCCCTCTTCCCTTCCCTTCCCTTCCCTTCCCTTCCCTTCCCCGGGAAAGGCTGAGGGGGGCACAATGCACACATCTAGCTGCTGCACCCAAGGACCACTTCCACCAGAGCGAGATGCCCCTCTTCTTCACTCTCATCTTTATCAGGAAAGGATTTCTCTGCTTGTCTCCCAGTAGAGGTGAATAACAAGCTCCCTTTTTTTGCCCTCCCCTCATTTTATAGCAATCTCCCTTCCTGTGACAAACGACATGAAGAAAGGGGACACTAAGGTAAGGATGGGCCTGTGGTGGAAGGGGCGAGTGAAGTTGAGGGATGTGATGTTTAACCTCCACCTATCTGGCTGGCTTTTGGCTGCCCCTGCTGAAAATCCCTGGAGGAAGTGCCAGAGATTTGTATGAGATTCGTACAGAAGGATCCGTCTGCCCCCACTCCCTCCCTACCAGCATTTACCCACTATGAATCCACTTCTGCACACCTGGGCAGGAGAGAATTCCCTCAGGATGTACCAGAGGGACTAAACAAGCTTGTCTGGAGAATGGTGATGCTGGGGATGGAGGTTGGGTATAACCCTCCCCAGTCCTCCTACTTTCAACTTTTCAAAGCTCCCAACAGGAGGTGACTCAGGGGAGAGCAGGGGGAGATGTGATTCAGGAAAGGGGATTGCTGGAACGGTGTGTGTTTGGGGGTGTGTATACATCTGTGTTTGTATGTGTGTGATGTGTTACTTAAATATGCATGTTCCTGAAAAACAGGCAACGGGCTATATCTCAGACTGCTAATCTGTCCTCAGCTCCCGCTGAGCCTGTCTGGATGTCTACAAGTGGTGTGGGTCTTGGCTGCCCTCTCCAGCCTTCTTTCATAAGCTTCTGTGCATACATCTGTCATACCTCTCTGACATTCATAGCTGCACTTTGCAAATGTGTGCGCTCCCAACAGGCTTTTGGCACCTTTGGATACATGTATTTGCCTGCGTAGATCTGTGACAGACCTCTCCTTCCTGATATTCTAACGCCTACAGTCTTTCAGATGAGCTGATCTCTCAGCTGCCCAGATTAAGACTTCTGCAGAAATTAAGGTCCAGAAAGGAAACACCATCCTTTCCCCTCCTACTTTTTGAACATCTTTGTTACCTGAAATTTTCTAGCCACATAATGTTTTCCCCCAGGCAGCAGTAGGGGAGGGCACATTCGTGTCACACAGCCACAGGCTCCATTGCGCAATGTCTCCACTCGTTGTTACCTACAGTGCAAGCGCCATGAGGCACGCCTCCCTCTCTCCTGTCAGATGTGCCAGGGCATGGAGACCTGTTGCTTTGTTAAGACCTTTAGCCTGCTTAGCCCTCGCTGGGGCTGAGCCATGAGCTGTGAGGCACTGGGTGCCTGCTTCGGGCTGTGTGCTGCTGACCGAGAAAAGGGACTCAGGGTGGGCACCTGCCCCTTCAGCTGGACATGTCAGAGTGGGATGCTCATTGGGCATCTGGTGGGACAGTCCATTAATTTCACAATTATCCATGTGAGATCTATTCCTCAATATATTCTACGTGTAAAATATGGCACTTCCCAGCATGCCACATTCAGATTTTGTGGAAGCTGGTGCAAGTCCAGGGAAATACTTGCCCCAAGGAAGGATTGTGTCCCAAGCCTGTCCCCTCCCTGGGTACTGCACTGACACAGGCTCTAGCTGAGAGAAAAATCAGACCACCTTTCTTCCGATTTTTGCTGCAAGTGGAAGGAGCCTTTAGGGCCTTTCCACCTTCACTGCCCTTTGAGACACAGCATTTCAGTGAAGGATGTCATGGTCTCACGGGACAGATCAGGGCAGGGATAACATTACATGGGTACTGCAGTGAGCACCGCAGCTCTGCCTGCACACCATGCTGCTCTCAACGTGCTCTGTGTCACCAGCATTTGTGGGTGGCCTGGGGCTCCGAAATGGGTAGTCAGCATCTGCAGGCTTTTCCTGGGCAGCTCATCAGACTTCCCTTACATGAAGGGCTTTCCATGGGTAGCTGAACACAACCAAAGCATTTACAATATCTCTGTGTTTGCCCACTCTTGTGCTCGAAGGACACTATTTCCCACTAACAAGCACACATTTCAGAAGGGCCTGAGCACAGCCGAGCTCAAAAGTGGTGAAGTCTGTCCTTGTAAGGACATGGTCCTTTGGAGATTTCTCTGCAGGAACAGCATGAGCAGCTCTTAAGGATCTAGTTACATGCTTACAGTTAGAGGATAGCTATGGTAGAATTCCAGTCTGAGTTTCTGCACTGGATTAATTACATTCATTTGGAAAGGATCTCCTTCATTTCCCGATGCAGGCTGTTATTTCATGACCTTGTGAAGTCTCACTCTGCAAGACTTACTCTTACAAAAAGTCAGTGAGAGTGTTGTGGAATGACTGCACTCTTCATTTCATTATGTCACAGTTTCTCCACAGAGCTGGTCGTATTGCTATGGTGACTGACGTGTTTGTGTTCAGACAAAGACCATACATCAGCTTCGAAGTCTTCAAAAAGCTTGTATACAGTGTTTCATTGGACGAGGTTCTTATTTCTCATGCTGAGAAAGACCTCACTTCTGAAGATGCATTGAGTACTGCGGCAATAAGTGGCTCCAGAGGTTAGGAAATGTGGGAGGGAAGTATCAGAATATGGAGTTTGTTCCATTTAACAGTAGACTGAAGTGATTCAAAGTCATCTAGAATCAATATTAATGGCTTGCTTGTGGTGTAGGAGAATGATATCAGGGAAATTTCCCTGCTTTCTTTTTGTTAGATCTGTCCTGTAACATTTTTAATCCAGCAGGCAATCCCCTCAAACTGTGTAAATAGTTAAGAGTTCAGCATTTTAGGGCTGTGATCTGCAAAAGCAGAATTCTATCCTTACACAGGATGAAAATTTGCCCATCCAGCTGGTCAATGAATATATCTGATTGCTTGAATGAGTAACATTGTAGATGACTGGGAACTGATGACTTGTGTTTAATTTCTACTGCAGCCACAGTGCTTTGCTCTCCTGAGAATGCTACCTTGTGAGGGAGGTCAGGACTCTTAGGGCTGCCTACAGAAATCATCAGAAGAAAGAGGTTTAGTGAGTGAATCTTTGGCCCCCAAGGCTTACTTGTATCCTTTTTTTTTTCAATTTAACCTCTTTTTTTTCCTCAGGCATTTGTGAGCCCTGCATACTTTCTGGGCTGCTTCACAAATAATCATCCTTTTGAACTAAACAGCCTGATTCCTGCACTGGACTGTAGTGAATGCTGCTTTCTTTCCTGTGCAACCATTTGGGTCTACCACGACCACACAGCAGGGCTCCTGGTGGTGTCTTTCAGTGTGGCGAGGATGCCTTCACCCCTGCCAGTGGTGCCACCTTGCCTTTGCACCTCTGGCTTTCATCCTCCTACCACACATAAAGCACTGGGTGATCCCAGTGGTGCTGCAGCTGCATGGGTGAAGAGATAGGTCTGCAACCTCAGTACAAGTGACAAACTAGATAAATAATGCTTATCATTTTACACCGAAGAAAAGGGCTACTGGAAAGGGCAGGCCCAGAGTTCATCCTGTTTGGGAAGCTGCCGCAGGCAGTTGCAAATTCTTTGGAGGAAAGTGAGGGAACTTCCTTGCTTTCAGATGACCTGCCTCAGCGTACAGCTCTTCCAGTCTATAACAGATGGCTTGAACACTCAAGCACAAGGTCAAACACTTCTCCAGTGTCTTGTCCTTCTCTAGGGCTTGAGAGCAGTATTTCTTATCTGTATTTGAAAGCACAATTTGCCTTACCTTGCCCTCCATGCTTGGCTGCAGTCTAACTAGGATGCCCTTCTCAGGGCTCGAATAGCTCGCGAGATTTCAAGGTCACCTGTGACAACTAGTTGCTGTCTATGACCTCCCACTGAGGCCTTTTAGGAGAGGCAGGTTGAGACTTCTGTATATATCTATGGGTGTGTGTATGCATATATCTATACATATATCTATGTATATATCCCTGTATCTGTGTATAATGCCCTGATGTACCCAGCCGCTGGGGTGGGCTGGAGTTGTGAGGCCCTCAGATGAAGCATGCGTCACGTTGAAGAAGCACTTACCATTGCTCTGTGTCATTTGCTCACTTCTCAGTTTCAGGAGGTACCTTCTGTTCCTGTGGGAGGTAAAACAGAAGCCGAACATTCAGTTCTGGCTCAACCAGAAAAGTAAGATGATCGGCGCCATCATCTGCTGTGTTTTAGCCTTCATAACAAATAGATTTAGGAAAAAAACACAAAAAAGCTGTGCTTTAATTTTTACTTTTGTCTCTTTCTAGGTGATGAAGTGCATTGTAGAGGTCATCTCTGATACCTTATCAAAGCCAAACCCCCTGCCGATCAGCGAGGAATGCCTAGAAACACTCAGAGGAGGTACAGGCTCAGATTTAATGCTGGGTATCAGCAAGAGCAGATCTGGCAAGGAGGGGTTTGTTCTGCTCTGACACATGCTCTAGCACCTGACAAGTGGTCCCCAACACACTCACCTTCCTCGCGGTCACCCCACCGGGCTGCACCAGGCCCCAGAAACATGGACGGAGCTGCTGCTGGGCACAGACCATGCATCATGATGGCACCATGGCCAGGGGAGTGCTGGGTGACATGAAGCTGCCTGATTTTCATGGGACCTTCCTGTCATCTTAACCACCTGATTAAGAGATGTGGCAGCAAATCAGGCTGGGGAGAGTAAAGAGTAAATAAAGAGGGAGGTGGAATCTGGGGTTCTTTTTCATTTTCTAGGGGTGGGGGGAGGTTGTCTTTGCCCACCTTGTGTACTAAGTCTCCCCTATTGCAGATGAACGGATCATTTCTATCCTTCGCCACCAAAATTTATTGAAGGAACTTCAGGAAATTGCTGCTCAAGGTACAGTGTCACTGTGGTTATTTGGGAAGAGGGGTTTCATCTGTTGTAGCCCCTTTCATAGTGTTTTCATTTGGTTGGTTTAATTTACATTAATTTGACATCATATAAATGTGCCCTAGGAAATCTAGTTCCAGGACCTCCAGTAGGGACTGTGTGAGCGGGGACAGGAATTTTGCTTGTAGTAACTCCAATATGCATCTGATGATTTAAATGACTGTCAGTGTAACTAGGTGGTGATGTAGAATATAGGCATTTTGGGGTCGGAGAACTCTAAAAGGAAATTACTATAATTTAATTCAGTAAATAACCACAAGCCCCCAAAGTAGAATCAAAGACAAGATAACCTTCACTGTGCAGTCTAGCACTAAATCCAAGTGTGGCAGAAGGGAAGCCTCACTGAGCATTGAGCAGGACTTGCACCTCAAAGACCCCAACAAAAGCATCTTTGAGCTAATGGGGATTTTCCTGTTGGCTTCTTTAGGCTGAATGCAAGTTCCTTTGGTTTTGAGAGATGTGGGCTGCTCACCACTTGTCGATGTGGGAGCAGCAGCAGCACAGAGCTGAACAAAGAGGTGTGCAAGGGGGAAAGGAGCTATTTGCTACTTCAAAGCCAGTGCAGGTCACTCTGCCTGGGCGGTCTGCTTGAGGTTGCCACAGGACTCTCCCCAGGCTGCAAGGAGAGGAGCTCCTGGCTTTACCTCCTCCTTCTCGCTGGGGTTACCCAGCTGGCAGCCCTCACTTGCCAGGGCATCCCTGTGGCCTGCTCCTGTGTGGCACGGCTGCCAGGGCCGGCTGGGGGGCAGTGCCACCAGACTGCTTTCAGAGCAGGGAAGCCACAGAGGCAACAGGGAGAAGGGAGAGGGAAAACTCAGGAAGTCAAGATTAGAAGAGAGCTCCATGCAGCTCCCAAAGCTGTGGTTTGGTCACTACCCAGCTGCCACTGGTGGAGAGGCCAGCCAGACAGTGATCCCAGATAGGGTCCATGGATGCTCTGATGATCCAGAAGAAAGAAACCTGGGCCTCCTCAGTGCACTGGAATGTTACTGCCTGGGAACACCAGGGTTGTGAGGGGGAGCACTCAGCTATCAGACACAGAGCAAGGAGTGCACGTGAAGGGACTTGTTTCACAGAGGTGCATCTTGTTCCACACTTGCCTTGGCTTGACCCATCACACTGTTTTGTCCTGGGGTAATGCGAGCTCTAATCTACAGATCACAGTGACCGAGGATGGAAGGTCTTGTAGCCCAAGGGAAAAGCAAAGGTGTTTGTCTTGGTCTCCTCTGTGCTGGCTGCAGCTGATCCTGCTCAGGCTGGAGAGCGCAGCTCACTCAGCTCTGCCCAGTGTTGGGCTAGAGAGGGCTGGGCAGGCAGTGTTGGCTCTTGCCTTTGCATTAAGGCATAGAAGCAGGGTGTGAGCTGGGTTAAGACAGGGCTTGCCTGGCTTGCAGATCCCGTTGGGATGGGGTGGCCTGGGGAGTGCTGATTGCCAGGACAGCTGTGTCCTGGCCTCCAGCAAGCACTGCCTTCAAACATCTTCCTTCAGACACCGCTTTCTCCAGGGTGTTGCTGTTGTCGAGCTGGCTCCATAATCCCAGAGGCTAAGGTGTGGAGACCTGGGGCCCCGGACTACCCCCAGAGGGGGAATGAATGCTGCTTCTCCCTCCCAGCGCGCCGGGGATAGGGACAGGGACCCCGCGACAGGCGGAGACCATGGGGCCTCTCAGTGCTCACCTCAACAGAGGTACATGGGCAGCATCTGGCAGGAGGCAATTTTTATCCCTCAATACTCCAATGCTTAAGTCTTTTGTTGGCCTCAATGCGCCGCAGTTCAGTGTCTCTTATTCCCTAGCTCTCCATCAATATTAGTTTTCTTAGCAACCCTGCTCCTCTGTTTGCTTAGAGACTTTTTTCTTTCCTGCAGATGATGTTTTTGATGGTGGCTTTGTTACTGCAGTTGATTCACTTCTCCTCTAGTCTCACTTCACCTCACAGCCCCCCTTTGCCAGATTTGTGCATGGTAGAAAATACGCATAGAACTATAAAGGGCACAGAACTATTTTCCTACCTCTGCTTTCTGAAACACAGGATGGGCTGTTGCCTTTCC